GCAACTGGAGCTTTAGGGTCCTTAGATTTAGTATAACGTCCTTCGATTCGCCCAGCAGGACCATTAAAAAAAACTTCAGCCATAATTTTGTAATAATATCAATATTTATAAAAGTTCTTGCTTAATAGGGAAAGATTATAACATGTGGCTTCATAAAGTTCAAGGTAGTTAAGTTAACGCACCGCTATTATCAAAATGCCTATTAAGTGAATTGACTACAGCATAAACTGATTAAATTGCCTTCCATTTACCGTTAGACCTCAATATCTGCCTAAGATATAGTTATTATTTTCTAGAATCGAGGTCTATTAAAAACAACTAATCTAGGGAAATATTAATAAGTTTATAACAAAAAGAGTAGACAGAGATTAATAAACAATGTTATCTTGTTACTGTAGTCAAAAAGGTGGACCATAAAAAATTTCTGGGTTTTGTAACGAAAAGTAAAGGTAGAATAATTGATAGAAAGTTTTGACTATAAAATTATGCAGTAATGGCATAGCTATTATAATTTCTGCTATTTGGGTAGAAAAATTCTTCTAAAATAAGTTTTATTTTATATTTTCGTTTTCCGGGACTAGAAATGCAGGACTGAAAAAATTTAACAATAATTTTTAACATCTAAGTATAGGTAATAATTATGAACTTCAAAAACTTTAATATAACAGCGCTATTTGTTGTATTTTTACTAAGTATTAGTACTGCAGGGGCCGCTGTAGTAGACACTGCAAGAGATACAGCAATTACCGCTGCTGTAAAAGCTAAATTGTTACAAGCAAACGATCTATCTGCTAAAGACATTAAAGTGGAAACTAAAGATGGAGTAGTAGAATTGAAAGGGGTAGTGGATACACAGGACCAATATAATCGTGCTATAACAGTATCTCTTGGTGCGGAAAATGTGAAGGATGCAATAGCGAAAGACCTCAAAATCAAAAATAGTGATGCTCCCTTAACTGATGCATTTATTACTTTAAAAGCTAAAGGTAAAATTGAGGCTTTAACTATAACGAATCAGATCAGCGCAGGTCATAATTTACACGTTGAGACCACAAACCAGAAGGTGCATGTGAGTGGTACAGTAGTAGACAATAAGGACATTGATACTATTAAAAAGTCTCTGCTTGATATCAAGGATGCTAAGTCTGTTGTTGTCGACAATATCAAATAATAACGCCCTTTAAAGAGCTCGTGCAAGCGGGCTTTAATTTTGTTATTATTTATTTAAAATGTATTTTTAATTATTATAAGTATGTTGTAAATAAAATACCATGATTAAAACCCGCGCTCTCTTTAGGTTATTATATATGTTAACCGAGCAATAGTATTGTCTATACCAATTATAGAAATAATTTCAAAAATGCTGGGAGAAGAGGTGCATCCGGTTAGTAAAACTCTAATGGGCTGCATAAGCTCGCCCAACTTAATGCCCTTATTTTGCGCTATTTCTTTAAACCCTGTTTGTATTGCGTCTTGGTGGAAAGGTACTAAATTCCTTAATTTATGAATAACTTGGTGAACCAGCTCTTTATCGTAATTATAAAGTATTTTTCTAGCTTCCTCAGAATAGGTTAATGGGGAGTGAATCAAGTAAATTGTAGCCAGTTTAGCGAGTTCAATTAAATTAGTGCTTCTGATTTTTAAGTTGGGCATTGCTTTTAAAATATATTCTAGCTCTTGCTGACTAATTGTATGGTGTTGGCGCAAAATATTAACAACCATTGTTGTTAAGTTTTGTTCATCAATTTGACGTAGATAATGAGCATTTAAGTTATTCAGTTTGGCAAAATCTAAACGAGCAGCTGATTTACCTAACCCTTCAAGATTAAACCATTCTATAGCTTGAGCTCTAGAAATAATTTCGTCATTTTGATGTGACCATCCTAACCTTAACAAATAATTACATAAGGCTTCTGGTAAATACCCCATATCTTTATAGACTTGGGTTCCTAAAGCACCATGTCTTTTTGATAATTTTGCTCCATCTTCTCCGTGGATCAAAGGTATATGAGTCATATTTGGGACGGTCCAATCAAAAGATTGGTATAAGAGAATTTGCCTGGCGGTATTAGTTAAATGATCGTCTCCCCTAATAACATGGCTAATTTGCATTGCATGGTCATCTACCACTACTGCTAGCATATAGGTTGCTGTGCCATCACTGCGTAATAATACCATATCATCTAGATGAGAATTCTCGATTACTACATTCCCTTGTAAACTATCCTGGATAATTGTTTGGCCCATCCGAGGCGCTTTAAGCCTAATTACTGGTTTAGCATCTTTTGGATAACAAGTAGGGTCAGCATCCCGCCAAGGGCTATTAAATAAAAAATGTTCTTTATGCGCTATGGCTATTTCTCGGTGCTTATCTATTTCGCTTTGTGAGGTAAAACAATAATAGGCCTTACCAGCCTCTACTAATTTTAAGGCAGCTTCTTGATATAAGTGATTCCGTTTAGATTGAAACACTACTTCTCCATCCCAATTAAGGCCAAGCCATTGTAAGCCGGCAAATATCGCCTCGAGAGCCTCTTCTGACGATCTGGCTTTGTCAGTATCCTCAATTCTCAGTAGAAACTGCCCCTTATTATGTTTAGCAAATAAATAGTTAAATAAGGCCGTACGAGCTCCGCCGATATGTAAAAATCCGGTAGGGGAGGGGGCGAATCTAGTAATTACTTTTTCTTGTAGTGAAAGTTTAGTCATAATATTGTTTTAATATTTCTAGAATAAGGAGGCAGGGGAGTCAAATAAGCAAAATAATTCACTTCAATATCATCACTTAATTGCCAATTTTGATAGAGTGGATTGTAAGTGAGCCCTTTTAACTCTTTAAGCTCAATATTGTTTTTAGTAAACATCGAATAAATTTCTGATGGTTTTAGAAATTTATGATAATCATGCGTACCTTTTTTTACCCAATGTAAAAAATATTCTGCCATAATAATAGCTAACATATAAGCTTTTAGGGTACGGTTAATGGTAGAAATTATAATCATCCCATTGGGTTTTACTAAATTAGAAAGGTTTTTGATAAAATCCTCTGTGTTATCTACATGCTCAATTACTTCTAAGCACAACACCACCTCATACTGTTTATTATTAGTTACTTCCTCTTCAACCGTAGACTTAAGATATTTTATAGATAAGCTTTGTGCTTTAGCGTACCCCTTAGCAATATCAATATTACTTTTTAGCGCGTCTATGCCTGTAATAGAGACATTTTTTATATATTTAGCTAAAGCCGAGCTCACTAATCCCCCGCCGCATCCAATATCTAAAATATTCAGCTCAAAGCTTGAATGTTCAAGCGCATTTATATGAAAATGAGATGTTATTTTATCAATAATATAAGAAAGGCGGAGAGGGTTTATTTGGTGCAGGATTTTGAATTCACCATCTTCCTGCCACCACTCTTTAGCAAGCTGATCAAATTTCTCTAGCTCCAATTTATTAATAGAAGTTTTGGTAGACATAGTTGCTTGCTAATTATACAATTCTCTTTAATATAGCACAAAAATATTTGTTCCACTAAGTATTAGATTAGCTCGTCAGAGATTTTTTTTTCATGTCCTTAATAATATTAACCGTTATCCTAATTAGTTTAATCTTTGCCCCTCTTGGTTGCATCAGCTTATGGAAAAAGTACGTATATTTTGGAGATGGGCTGGCGCATGCTAGCTTACTTGCCGGCAGTATTAGTGTTATTTGTCATTTTTCTATTATTTCCTCAGGAATAATTACTGCTCTTATCTTTGCCCTTTTAGTATTCATCCTCAAAAATAAAGCTGCCGGCAGTAGCGTTGTGATTTTAGTATCCAGCTTTATGCTCTCGCTAGCTTTAATAATAAGTTACCTAAACCCCGCGCAGCTCAATATTAGTAACTTATTATTTGGTGATATTCTAGCAGCTTCCTTAAAAGATATAGGCATTTTATTAATAATCCTGATATTGGTATTTTCTTTTATTGGGTATTTTTACGATCAAGTTCTATTAACAGTTATCAATGAAGATATAGCCAGAATTAGAGGGGTAAAAGTCCAATTTATTGAATTAGCGTTTTTAATATTTTTATCTTTAGCGATATTTTCAACTATTAAAATCGTGGGCGCCCTTTTGGTCACTAGTATTTTACTAATTCCTGCCATGACTTCCCGCAACCTTTCTCGTACTCCAGGGCAAATGATTATTAATGCGGTTATTATCAGCTTAGCTGTCAATTGTCTTGGGTTAATTTCCTCTTTTTATTTTGACATTCCCCTCACTCCCATCATAACTTTAATCAATACTGTTACTTATTCCTTAATTTACTTCCTGTCTTATGTTAAGAGAATGCTACTCTGAATCTCTTAACTTTCTCCTAAATTTCTACCTTTAGTTAATACAAAAAATTAACCATTAGTTTGATAGCTTATCCCGCCTTATTACTTAAAAACACATATATTACAATAAATTTGCAAGGCTTTAATTTAATTATTACAAAATTAGTTGACAACAGCAAGATTTGATATATATTGTCCGCCAAGGCAATACAAATATTAATAACTATTAAAATATTAATATTCTCTAAAATTAACCTATTTACTAATTGTTTCAGAACTTAGTACTTAAGCCTCCTAGATTTCATTTTGTATACACATAAATACCCATCAAGGGCGGGGAAGCAAGTAACAACAAAACTTTAAAAATTAATAAAATAATTAATAAAATATTTAGTATGGAGAAAATAATGACGAAAAATAATAAATCACGATCTTTAAAATATCTGGTAACCTCGAGTCTTTGTGTGCTACTCGCTTCTACGTCTGCTTATGGAATCGGTAAGCCACAACAACTGCAGGCCATTATATCAAATTATGCACATCGAGGCTTAAGTGAGAAAGAGATAATTAATGCAATAAAGAGTAACTCTGGCGATTATAAATTTTTTGGTAGTGATATTAGACGAGTAAAGGGTAGAGTGCATCAATATCTGAGGGCCCAAACAGACCAAAATATGAGTGCAGTTGGAGAAGAAGCACAAGCTTCAACATCAGCACTATCGACGGTAATAGGAGAGGGGGAAGAGCCGAACGCACTTCCGGCTGCTAGTGCTTCTGCTGCTGCTCAATCTTTTCTTCATCATCACGCTAACCAGATCATACGTCCTGTGTATACAGCTGACTCAGGAGCTTTTGAGGCGATGAATCAAGGTATAAGAAATTACCGCAGCGGATCAGATATCGCAGATTCAGTAGAGGACCCTGCAAGAGAGAGAAGAAGAATTATAACTTCCTCACCTGAATCTCCAATAACTACTCCGGCAACGACAACTCAGGCAGCAACAGCTCCTGCAGCGACACTAACAGTATCCACTCCCAGCCAAGCAGATTCAACAGTTGCAACTTCATTAGCTACCACAACCACAGCAGCTTCAAGACCGGCAGCTTCAGCTTCGGTAGTGACAACAATAGTGGCTCCGACAGCAGCAACAGGTTCAAGACCGGCAGCTTCAGCTTCGGTAGTGACAACAATAGTGGCTCCGACAGCAGCAACAGCTTCAAGACCGGCAGCTTCAGCTCCGGTAGTGACAACAACAGTGGCTCCGACAGCAGCAACAGGTTCAAGCAGTAGCAGAACAGCTTCAACAGGGGAACCCACAGTAGCTCCAAGACCAACAGTGTCAGCTTCAGTAACTACAACAACAGTGGCTCCGACAGCAGCAACAGGTTCAAGCAGTAGCAGAACAGCTTCAATAGGGACAACCACAGCAGCTTCAAGACCAACAGTGCTACTTCCAACGGCTCCAGTAACTACAACAACAGTGTCTTCAGCAGGTGCAACCCCAGCATTTTTAGCCGTCGCTGTGCCGACAGATAGCTCATACGTTCCTAATCAGTTAGATGAACGTATGAGAAATTACTCCATAGGATCAGGTATCCCAGTTCCAGTAGAGGACGCTGCACGAGCTGCAAGAATGATGGTAACTAATTCTGTTTTACCTACTCCACTAGCTCCGGTTCTAGCTCCAATAGTTCCAGTAATAGGGGCGCCGGCAGTTACAACCGCGGCAACTCCACTCGTACGTCAAGATCAGATAAGGGAGCTGATGGCCATAGCAATGCAGGGGATGGACGCACGCCCAGACAATTTAAACGACGTGGTGAACGAGACGTATCGACTAATGCCTGCTCTTGAGAGAAATGGTGACAATGAGGGGAGAATAATGGCAGCTTATTATGAGATAATTAACGGAGATAATATAGGCGGGGCAGAGGATGAGGAAGACAATCCTCGGGTAGTTCGACCAGATAACCTGGACGAGCAAGATGTAGAGGATGAAGAGCCAGACCAAACTGCACAACGTAATAGAATTAGAAGAGCAGCTGCAAATCAACCAGCTGCAGCACAACCTCTAGCAGCTGGAGCTGGTGGCGGTAGTGGTAATGGCGGAGCGCCAGATCCGGATGCAGACGCTCAGGCAGCCGCAGATGCCGCAGCGCAGGCTCAAGCAGATGCAGCCGCTCAAGCTAAGCTCGAGGCAGAAGCTAAAGAGTTGATGCATGCTCAAGGTGTGACTAAAATGCAAGTATCAGTCGGAGCAGATGCAAATAAAACGGCTCAGGCTCCTATTAGTAATAGATTTGGGGAAATAATGACCAAAGCTTTAGTAGCTGCTGGTGATGAGCCGGATAGTCTTCCTAAAGGTGTGTGGATTAGCGGGGTGTACGGTAAGAGTAAGCAGGGCACCACTCCTAATAACGCTAAGTATAATGCAGCTTTTTATGGTCCAACTATTGGCGCTGATATAAATATTAATGATAATAATATTGTCGGAATCGCTTATAGCTATATTTTAAGTAATTACAAATTTAAGGATAACTTAAATAGAAAGCTAAATACTAAAAGCAATGTTATATCTCTATATAGTCACTCTCAACTTAATGAGGATATTATATGGGATAATATTTTGTCTATAAGCTTTAGTAAAGTTAGAGTGAAAGATTTAGGGCTAAATCCTGGAACTTCGCAATTAGTAACTGGAAAATATAAGAATACTGCTTATAGTTTAGACACCAAGCTTGGTTATAGAATTCCTACTGAAGATAAGAGCGTAAGTATAATACCTTACATTGGTTTAAGGGTTGGTCATTCTAAAGATAGCCGCTATACTTTAGGTAAAGTGGAGGTCGATAGTAAATCGGAATCACCAGTAGCTGCCGTTACTGGCGTCCAAATCGCTAAGAAGTACCGTGTTGCAGAAAATACCACAATTACGCCGTCTCTTGATTTAGGGCTAGAGAAGAGTTTCAACAAAAAAAGCTCAACAGTAAAAGCTAAATTTGCTGGAACGAATGAATATTTCCCAACGCAGGTTCATAAAAAATCCAAAGGCTTAGAATACAATATTGGTGCTAGCGTGCTGGTTAACCATGATAATATTGACATCGGAGTTGGTTATAGTTGTAATCTACAAAAGAAATATCAAGCTCACCAAGGTTACCTAAAGCTTAAAGTAGCATTGTAAACCTTTCGGTATATAACAAGTCGGGAAAATATTCCCGACTACTACCTTTAAGCCTTGCCTCTTCCAGTAGGAATGGCAGCAGATTTGGGATTATAAATTAAACTGACAGCATTTGCAGTTATTGTTGCTATAGGTTCTAAATATAGTTTTGACTTACATAACTTGAGTAAATTTTTTGGTAGAATATTTTGAGTATTATTTTTAATTAAGTTTTCAACTTCCGAGATTATTTTTTTACCTGCAGGCAAGGACTCAACTTTATTCTTAATGAGCTTCTCGACTTTAAGGATACTTATCACTGCGTTACAAGAGCAGGCGACTCGCGCATAAATGCTTTGGGTAGGGATTAGTGCTTGCTAAAAATTTGTTCTGGCCGCAGAAAGTTCTTGGTCAATAGAATTTTTTAAATCTTTGGCATCTAGTACCTTGTTGAGAATTGTATTAATTCCTTCACTGATTGAATCCATAACTTTTGCTACTTTACTACTGGAACTAGTTGTAGATAATTCTATGTCCTGTTTAGATTCAATAAGAAGCTTTAATGTTTGTGGATCATATTTCTCTAGGTCTTGAAGATTTAAGCCAAGTTCAGCTATCTGTAAGGGAGAATATCCTGTTCGCTCCGAAAGAAGGAGAATTTGCGCTGCTGTTTGGTATTTTTGTTGAAAGTTTTTATGTTGTTACGTTAATTCTGGATAAGAGAGTTATGAATATATAGATTAAAGTCAAGATT